AAAAAATCTAAGAACCAGTTCCCTTTCAAAACAAAAAATACAAAAATGCTGGAGGTTAAGAAATCTGACAGGAGATGCAAGTTAAACAAATATAATTACAATAAAAATGAAAAAGGCATGTGGCAGACCCACAACCTAGTGGTTAAGCAGGCTAGACCCCACGTGGCCAACCTCGATTAGAAGCCTCACTCTGGCACAGCTCCAGAAACACGCTAGGCGCATGAGAACGCACGCCCAAATGCCAACGGGATGGAGAAGTGGGGAAGAGACTGCAGCATGACCATGCTCCCTGGAGGAGCTAAAAAAGAAGAGTGCAGTGGGTAAGGGTGCTGGACTCCCTCATGGCTGACCACGGTTCGAGTCTCAGACCTGGCAGCTTGCTCTCTCACTTTTTCTTCCTCTCAAATTAAAAAAATAACAACAACAACAAAAAAAATCTTTTTTTTTTTGGAGAGGTTTTTTTGCTATAGGGCATGTGCACTAGCCAGAAAGACAGAGAGAGACAGAGAGACAGAAAATGAGAAATCACCTCCCCCCCCCCAGGGGGATGGCCACGCCGCAATCCCTTCTCCTCCATTCTCCTCTCAGGATCTTGGGCACACACGCACATGCGCCAAACATGAGTTTAAGACAACGGGTCCGGGATTCAAACTATATAGTCAACTACATGGGAGTCTAGCAACGGAGCCATTACGCCAACTGCTGGCTCCCAAATAAAATAATTCTTAAAAAAGAAAAAAAAAGGAAAGGGGATCTAACCAAAGATACAGATGTCTAAAGTACACAGAGTACATGATGTTAAATTTGAAGGTGTAGAAACAGCAAAAAAGTAAATTATAGAAATGGACTCAAGAAGCAAAAAGGCTTAGGGACAGCAGATGGCACAGTGGTTATGTCACTGGACTCCCACATGGCTGACCATGGTTCAAGTCCTGGACCCAGTGGCTTGAAATTCACACTGGACGCATGTGTGTGCATGCCCGAGAACCGAGGAGGAGAATGGAGAAGAGATTCTGGCATGGCCATCCCCCATCCCCGGGGAGTGATTTCTCATTTTCCTTCTCACTCTCTGTCTGTCTGTTTCTATCCCCAGCAAGCATACGTGCCTTAAGGCAAACCCCCCTAAATAAATAAATAAACTTTTTTTTTTTTTGGGGGGGGGGGGAGACATAAAAAGGATCAAATCAGGCCAGTCAGTGGCAAGGTGGTTAAGGCAGGCAGAACCCACGTGGCCTGCTGTGTGGTTCAAGTCTTAGACCCAGCAGCTTGAAAAGCACGTCAGGTGTTATTTGTGTGTATGCCCAAAATGCTGAAAGGAAAAGCAGGGAAGAAAGGACTGTGGCTGACCAACCCCCTGCTGGGTGCTTCCTCCCCTCCCCTCTCTGTCTCTCTGCAAAGAAAGCATGTGCCCCTCTAGCCAAAACAAAACCAAGAGACTCAACTAACACGATCCAAAAGCAAAAAATAAACCTTGTAAGAAAGTTATCGATCATAGCCATACCTCTCTGAAAAGTCTTCAAGATAGATATTTTAAGTAAGTTCTATAGGATCTAGGTGATGTAGTGGAAAAGAGCTGGATTCCCACATGGATGACCACAGTTCAAGCCCCGAACCTGGCAGCCTGAGTATCATGCCAGATCCATATGCCCAAAAGCCTAAAACGAGACTGAAGGAAGGGGAGTGCAGTGTGACCATCCCCATAGCAGGTGATTTCTCACTTTCCCTCTCTCTGTCTCTCTCCAATGCGTGCATGTGCCCTATGTATGACAAAAGTCCTAAAAAAAAAAAACCTTTAAGTACATTATTTCAAGCCAGCAGGTGGCGCAGAGGTTAAGACGCTGGATTCCACATGGCCAACTTTGTGATTGAGTCCCAGATCCCAATGGCTTGAAATCACAGTAGAAAACTGCATGTGTGGCCAAAACCTCAAGAGGAGACTGGAGGAGAAGAGACTGAGGCGTGGTTACACCCCAGAGGGGATTCTCACTTTCCCTCCCTTTCTCTCTGGCAAGCACACACACTCTATGGCAAAAACACTAAAAAGAAAAATGGAAGAAAAATAAAATTCTCAAATGTTCAAGTATGGCCAGCAGGTGGCATGGTGCTTAAGGCACTGACTCACTCCCACATGACTATGGTTCAAGTCCCAGACCTGGTGACTTGTTTTCTCACTTTCCTTTTCTTTCTCTCTCTCTCTGCTAAGCACATGTGCCCTATAGCAAATTTTAAAAATAGTAACAATAAATAAAATTACTTTTTTTAAAGTTCAAGTAACAACCAATCCAAGATGATATAAAATATTCCAGAACACATAAACTCATGCAAAGTTACTAAATATTTTTAAAGAATTATTTTTATTTATTGTTATTATTTTTTAACTTGCTATAAGGCACATGCGCTCACCAGCGAGAGAGAGAATTAAAGAGAGAGAGAGAGAAAGAAAGCTACCTGGTCCAGGACTCGAACCCGAGGTTGGCTATGCAGGAGTCAAGCACCTTATTCAACATGCCATCTGCTGTCTGCATTAACAAAATTGTCTGGGGTTAGTTTAACTTGGAAACCAAAACACACAAAGGCCACCTCCTACTCCAAAGAAACGCATACACACCAATAGGAAAATTGTAAGAATAAAATTGGGGACTAAAATTCAACATTACTAAGAACAACTCATTAGGAAATTTATCAATTTAAATATCTACATTAATGTTCAGAACACTAATGAAATTTAGCACCTACTTCTTTTAGTAACTCTAAAAACTAAAAATCAAAAATAACCCATTAGGGACCAGCAGTTGGCATAATGGCTATTTCACTGGACTCCCATTGTAATCAATCATGGTTCTAGTCCCGGACCTGGTGGCTTAAACTCACGCCAGGTGTGTGTGCATGTGTGCCCAAGACCCTGAGAGGAGAAGAGAAAAGGGATTGCAGCGTGGCCATGCACCCAGGGGGTGACTTCTCGCTTTCTGTCTCTCTGTCTCTATCTTTCTAGTGAGTGCACGCACCCTAAAGCAAAAACCTCTCCAGGGAGAAAAAAAAAAGAAGAATCAATTTAAATGGATGAAATGACTCTTCAGACAGCATGGAAAGAACATTATGGGGGCAAAGTAAAAATGCTACCAGTGAAATAAGAAAGACCATCAGGATAGTCATCCTGATAAGATACAGAGTAAAACAACAATTAACATCAACATAAAGAAAATGTTAAGTTCAGAGGAATAAGGAAAATCCGATTTATATCAGCAATGTCAACAATCGATCCATAAATAGAGATAAAATAAACCTGAAATAATCCAAAATGTCAGATTCGGAACATGAGGAAAATTACCTTTGACTGAGTTATTAAAAAAATTATAAAAATCAAAGGACATGCTTCATGTCTAGATGAGAAAGCTTAATCAAATGAAGAAAAACATCTTTAGGGCCATCTGGTGTCATGATGGTTAAGGTGCTGGATCCCATGTGGCCAGCTACTAGGTTCAAGTCCTGGACCTGGCAACTTGAGAGTCACACCAGATACATGTGTGCATGCCCAAAATCCCAAGAGAAGAATGGAGAAGGGGTTACAGTATGACCTTCCTCCTAGAGGTTGATTTCTCGCTTGCTTGCTTTCTCTCTCTCTCTCTCCCTCTCTCTGGCAAGTACACACCTCCTATAGCAAAAACTAAAAATTTCACATTTTAAAAGAGAAAGAAAGAAATTGTTAAAGACTCTGGTATGGGCCAGCTGCATGTGTGGCGGTGAAGGTGGCTGGGTCCCAAATGATGACTGAGCGGTTCATCCCAGACCCCGCAGCTTGGAAGACATGCCAGGCACATGTACAAGTGCGCCCCAAATCCCAAGAGGTGAATGGAGGTGAATGGATTGTGATGTGGCCATCCCCCAGGGGGGATTTCTTACTTCCCCTCTCTCCAGTCAGCACTCATGACCTACAGCAAACTTTTCTTAAATGCTGCCAGTTGCAGCTAGGGAAAAAAAGCCTCTGGTGCTGCTATTGATACCAGAGCCACACAGGTGAGTTCTGAAGACAGCTCATGAAGCCAAATTTGTAAAAATCATACAATAAAATCCTACCCAATCATTAAACAATACGATACACACTTTCAGTAAGAGACATGAAGAAATGCCCACGTGAATTATCAAAGCGAAGAAACCTAGGTGTGAAACGAAAGAATCAGTATGATTTCATGGTGTTTATAGGTTAAAACACAGAAATCTAGAAATCAAGATAAACACCCCAAAGAGAGCACCTGATCCCATGCATTCAGAAATGTTGCAGAAAGGCCTATATAACTTTTATAAATTTGGGAGGAAAAAAAGGTTAAATGTAAAGAAATGTAAAGAAAAAAAATAAAGAAATACCACCAAAATATTGAAATTCTATATCTTGAGGTAGCTGAATTATAGTTGTTTTTTTAAATTGCTTTAACTTTTTTTTTTGCATATTCCAAATTTCCTACAACAATTACACCAAAAAAAAAAAACTTCTGCAAGGGACCAGCAGTTAGTGTAATGGCTATGTTGCTGGACTCCCATGTAGTCGACCACGGTTCAAGTCCTGGACCCGGTGGCTTAAACTCACGCCGGGCGCATGTGCGTGCGTGCCCAAGATCCCGAGAGGAGATGGAGGAGAAGGGATTGCGGTGTGGCCATCCCCCCTGGGGTGTGATTTCTCACATTCTGTCTCTCTGTCTCTCTCTGTCTTTCTGGCAAGTTAGCACACATACCCGATAGCAAAAACCTCTCCAAATAAATAAATAAACGAACTTCTGCAAAAAACTGTCAAGATGTAAACTACAACATGATTATAAAAATACTCATTTGGACGACATTCTTGTTCTGTTGTACTAAATTCTCAGACACTCTCCGGCCATGGTATTATTTTTAACACTAAATTTAAAGCTTACCAAGACAAGGTCTGAGCTGCTGACACACTTTACTTGAATTGAACAAGAAAACCAAGTGGGAGGAGTTGAGAACGGCGAGGCCAGGAGTCTTACCGTAAAACTGTTGTTGACGTTTTTGGTGCTAGACTCAGCCACGCTGGCGTCCGTGAGGTCCACTTCGTCAAATATGATTGACTGGAAAGAGAGAAGCACAGGGGTGAGGCCCACCCTACGCCTGGCCAGTGCTGCCCGCAATCTCCCTGACCTTGATGAGCACCAGACATCCAGGCACCCTGATGCTGCATCCAGTCAGTAAGCTAGTGTCAAATTAATCCACTCGACCTGCTTCTTTCTAACGAAGAGCTTCACAGTCAAATACCACAATTTTTTTTATGTTTATTTTTTGGTACAGGGTACATGTGCTAGTCATAGAGAAATGGGCGGGGCAGGGAGTGAGGCATCAACCCCTAGGAGGGATGGCCACACTGTGATCCCTTCTCCACTTGGGATTTTTGGCAATGTGGGCATGCAGGCACACATGTGTTTAGTATATTTTTCAAGCCGCTGGGCCTGGGACTCAAACCACGAATTGGGCCATGTGAAACCTCACCACCTGTGTGATTTTTTTTTTTTAATCTCGAGAAGTCGTTAGTGATTGCACTATGGAACAAAAGAGGGGGAAAAGTAACCCATCAATGCTGGTATTTCTGTGTTCACTTTTTCTAACGACAAAACACAACTTTCAGTACCAGTGTTTCACTTTGAAATGTGAACCAGGTGCCTTCACGGCGACCCACCGGAGAAGAAGTGAGGGTCCAGTGTGACAACCCTCCATTCTTCCGACTGGGTTTCACCAGCTAACACACTGGGGGAGGTCCCGGCTAAACACGATCACTCTAGAGAAAGAGAGGCCCGAGCAGGAGGGGTCGGCTCAGGGAGAAAGGGGGACCGGCAGAGGAATCCCAGCTGGAGAGCGTGGACAACCAGGCTCCAAAGCACAGCCTGGGCCTCGGCCTGAGGAACTCACCATTCTGCTCGGCTTTCTCCCCAAGCCCCCTCCATACCACCACCTCTGGCTTCATCCTATGATAAGTATCTGGAAACCCTGTAGAAAATACTAATGCCTAAGAAAATAGACTCAACCTTTTAAGTAACTCCAAACAGAACTGAAGCTGTGGTTTTTTTTTTTTTTTTTTTTTTTTTTTAAAAAAAAAAAAAAGGATGGTGGGGCCAGTTGGTGGCGTCAAGATTAAGGCGGCTGGATCCCACATGACCAACTGCATGGTTCAAGTCCTGCACCTGGTGGCTGAAAAGTCATGCTGGCGCTTATGCCCAAACTCCCGAGAGGAGCATTCCAGCATGGCCATCCCCCAGGGGCTGATTTCTCACTTTCCCTGTGGCTCTGGAGAGTGCATACTGCACTATAGCAAAAAAAGAAAGAAACCGAAAACAAACAAAAAAAAAGTAAAAAGCAAAAATGATGTAATCAAACCCTCTCTAAACAAGTCACTTTGTTTAATTTCAAATTTGTATGTACTGACCCTCTAGGGACACCTCTCAAAATGTAAATTATTCAGGTTCCAGATTTTCTTAATTCTGAAATACCAGCACTGGCATTAATACCAATTTAAAAGCACAGGCATTCAGAGTGCCACCAGCATGCCTGTCCGTGTGTGAGGCGGCCAACACCACAGCGCAGCGGGAACGGGGCAGGGCTGCGTGCTCTCCGGGCTGCTGTCGCCCCGCAGAGCCCGGGGACGCTGGCCTTAGCGCTCACCTCCAGGGCACCCGAGCAGGCGCAGGCGAGTGAAGAACTTCCTGGTTCTGCTCACACAGCAGGTGGCCGACACACTTTGAAAGAACTTGCAGCCCACGGGAAGACTCCTGAGCCTGGATCCCCACCCTCGAAGATACCGGACTGTAACGTGGTCCTCTGTGACCACAGGTGATAAATAACTCTAAACGGAAAGAAACCGGGCCAGACGGCTGCACGCAGTAGGATGGGATGCTGGGTGAGGGGTCTGGACCGGGAGCCCTCTGGCACCCAAGGTCAGGCTGGGCGAGAGGGGTGGACCCTGTGGCAAGCATGTGCTCTTTCTCTAGCTGTCTCACTCATGGACAAAATAACCTTTTAAGAAAAAAGTGGGGAAAGGCATAAAAAGCTTTCTAAGAAATATAACATGCTAGACGCAAATTAAACCTAACGCCCTGGAGTACGACGAGCGGCCTGAAGTACAGCTCAGAGCGCCCGCTCTTC